AAGGGGGCTCCCTCTGGTAAGAGGGAAAATCCAACATTAGAAATTAAGATGGTATCACTTTTCTTGACGCTTCTGGGGGCACAGGGAAAAAAATTGTAACTAATTTAATTGTCGCTAAAATCAGGGCTTTTCCTGTCTAATACAGGATTAGAATAAATAGATACCCAGGCAACACAGGGTTATCAGCTAGTATTTCATAAATATCACATTTTGGCACACGTTTTAAGAATCAGTTGTTAAATTATTTGAATCCCACCACTGCTTCCATCTATATTTTGTCACCTGTGGATGCATTCTAAAACCAGCCTATGACACTCCCTGTGCCTGAAATTCCTTCAGTAAAGGATCTTTCTCTTTCTCTTTCTCTTTCTCTTTCTCTTTCTCTTTCTCTTTCTCTCTCTCTCTCCCTCCCTCCCTCCCCCTCCCATAAAAATACATACCGTAATTTTCGGAGTATAAGATGCACCAGAGTATAAGACTCACCAAGGTTTTGAAGAGGCAATTTTTTTTAAAAAAGGTTTTGCACTCTGCAAACCTCCCCAAAATGGCCCGGTTTTCGTGAAAACAGGCCCATTTTTTTTTTTAAAAAAAGGGTATGAATAGCCCTTAGGAGGCTTGCAGAGTGCTCCTCCAGGGGGGTTTCCAAAAATGAACAAAAAACAGCCCGTTTTGCAAAAACGGGTCCGTTTTTTGTCAAAAAAAGGGGACATTAGGAAGCTTATAGAGTGCTCCTGGCGGCTGGGGGAGGAAAATTTGAGTAAAAAACGGCCTGGTTTTTTTGCTCATTTCTGTGTCTTGCTTGTATTTACTACAAAGTTAAAAAACCTGCTTTCGGTATTGTATATTTACTTCATGTGTTATATTATATATAAAGAGACATTAATGAATCCTGCTGAATCAGTTACCTGTCCATGCTTTCTGGATGTGATTGCTCCAACCTCTGACAAAAACCAAACACGAGTACACATATCATAAATGTCAGAAGCATAATCTTTGCTTTTTAGAGAAATGGGTGTTAATTGTCCAAGCTGATGAACATTTTATGTGTATTAAGGATAATCCTCAATTCACAATCACAACAGAGACCAAAATTTCTCTTGTTAAGCAAGGTGGTTGTTAAGCGAATTGCACCCATGTTAAGGATCTTTTTTTGCCGTGTTCGTTAAGCAAATCACTGCACTTGTTAAACTGAGGAAGGTTGCTTTAATTCTCTCTGTTTCCTACTTCTTAAAAGTTTCCGGGAACAGCTAACATACCCTGCTCTCTTTCTGATGCCCTCTGGAATCCAGGTGTTCTACTGATTAATATGTTCAATTAGGTTGAAGGAAATTCAAATTCAAATCATTCATCGGCCATAAAGCTTTGCAGATGATTAAAGTCACAACCTCACAGAGTTAATGTGAAAATGTACATCTGGGGAAGCTCCTTGAAGGAAGGGTAGGGTTAAGAAATGTCATCCATCATAAATACTTGCACCTTCACCCATGTGGCATCACAGTTTTCTCCTTCAACAAATAAGTCCTGTATGAAAACTTTAATTCTTTAGATGTCAATTGAACAGAAAACTGAGCTTAATATTGTTGNACGGAGACGTCTTCAGACAGCGCTGGCTCTTCGGCTTTGAAATGGAGATGAGCACCACCCCTTAAGAGTCGGGAACGACTAGCACATATGTGTGAGGGGAACCTTTATCTTTACCTAAGATGTTGAAACCAAAATTATCTGTTCTAGTTCACTCCTAGGTATGGAAGCTGGCTGTGTGACTTTGGGCCAGGCACTCTCTCTCAAACCAACCCATCTCATAAAGTTGCTGTTATGAGGAAGATACACAGCCTTATGAACACCCTAAAATTAAAAAAAACAAGATATAAATTTAATAATAAGTAAAAAGATGTCTGGACTTCAACTTCCAGAATTCCCCAGCCCCAGCTTGTAACTCCAAATGAGACCATCAGGAAAAAGAGCGTAGGAACCCCTGAGCTAAGAACTAATAAAATAGAAAAGTAGCTTTCTAGTTCTCTAGTATTTTAGAACTCTTGGCCTTTTGTATGGTATTAAAAGTTCTGAATGTTCTCTCAGGCATATCAGCTGATGGAATTTTAAACTAGCTTTGTGGGTAGATCTGTCTTGTTCTTATCATCACTGATTGGAAAAGGAATGATGACTTTTAGGCCCTGGATCTGTATTATATTATTACTGAACTCTTCAGTTACTATTTTGGATTATTATTTTAATAATCATGTTGCTTTATTTTAACCCTCTGAAGACTGTCTAAAGCAGGGGTGTCAAACTCGCATTGTCATGTTGTCGTCACGTGACGTATTACGACTTTTCCTCCCTTCGCTAAAAGGGGGTGGGGGCATGGCCAGCGTGTGATGCATCTGGCCCGCGGGCTGCGAGTTTGCCCCTCTCCCCGGTCTAAAGTCACCTCTGAGGTGGATGACTATATAAGTAGCATACTGTAGTAAAGATAAGCTATGATGTAACTCACAAATAATCAGACATGTCTCAATTCAATATCGGTTCTAGGATTAGATGGGTGGATTTTTTAAAAAAAATACAATTCTGCAATAGGGACTTATAATTGCTGTTTTTGAAAGACAAAATTATTACTGAAAATCACACTCTTTTGAAAAAGATTCCCAATGAAAGAGGCTCAAATTACATGCAGCACAGTACTTACAGCAGCAACAAGGGCTTCTCTTTATTTTCCGGAAAGTGAAAGATATTCTCTTTCCCCTTTTGTTTAAGGTTAACTTTCTGATGTCAGCAGTGATGCTTCCAACGTTCTCTCCTTCTGATGCTTGAACGACGTCAAATTTCTTTGGTGTAATACTTTGAAATAAAACACAAGTCATGATTTCACTCCCTTTTTTATTACCTATATATGTAAAAACATGTGCGTTCGTGCGTGTTCCACCATAACCCTGGAACGCCTCAAGCAATTTCAACCAAACTTGGTACACAGATGACTTACCCTCTGGAAACAAATACTGGGGGGAAGGGGGGGGTAAGACATGTGGGTTTCAGCAGTACATCAAGCAGTTGTGTCCAAAATGTCTATCTGTCTTATGCAGAGGTTTTTTTTTGGCTTTTATAAAATTTTAACAAGCAAAGCAAAAGCACAGAAAGCAACAGTCTTGTTTTTGGTTTACTCCTTCTTTTTTCCCTTGTGAATCCAGAAGGCTATCCCAGCCAAGGTTGAGTCTCACATAACTCCCTGATAACGGCCTGTCTCTGCTCGGTGAGATAATGGGCTAAAAGATAAGCGTCTACTTGAGATCATGGCTGTAATGTGCATGTCTGTACATAACCTTTCCTCTTTTCCCACATCTGGTTCTGCTAATTAGGTGAGCTTGTAGGTATCCGAGATAACCAGCTACTGAGATCACAGTAGCTTACTACCCATCCCTTTATTGGCCTTACCTCT